CTCACTATTATTCTGTATAAACTTTCAACTATATATGATTATTTTCGTACAAGAAATATTTTCGTCAAAAGATTTGAATATTATATTTTAATCAAAACACTGTTGTATCTCAATGTGTGTCTATGTAACGCGCGGTATACGATGCAGCATAGTACAGTGCAAAGCAGTAGAATTTACAGTTCAACGCGTGTTGATCCAACTAGTAATCAATTCGGCGCGTGGTGTGTCAATGCGTTGTGACCCCTCGTGTAGTAATACAACGCATAGCAATGCAGTGCGTTGCACTTCAACGCGTAATAGTGCAACGTGTGCAGCACATTGCAGCTCAACACGTTATGATCCGAGTATTCAGCGACGTGTGTCCCAACCGTATTCTATTGATAGCTAGGTAATCTACTGCGTGTTAAAGGCGGCAATATAACGAGAGTCTACTGTATTCATCGCAAAGAAGCTTCGTAGGATGTCGAGAAATTAGTGCAACCACAACTCGAACCATCGCCGATGAGAAATGTCGGGAGCAATGTTAACCGGAGATCGAAGATCAAATATCAAGATCTGGTCTACTCGATGCGAGATTAAACCTTTCCGAAGGTAGAAAGCTAACGAAGGCGAATACCAGCCAGCAGGTCGCTGTGACATCTGTCAACCCCCGTAACAGGGAAGTTCATTATGGCGTTCAGCAGGGCGCCACGTCATTTATATCAATTACTGCCAAACGCTAAGCTGAATCGGCAGACCTTCGCGTCGACCTCAATTATTTACGAACGTCATTAATGCTTGCGAGGGAAAACGCTGAAAGTGCCATGGTTAAGTCGTTTCGGGTTCAAAGAATTTTTCTGATTTTTGATAACCCATTTGGCCCATCAACTTGTAATTAAGCGATAACGAACATTTAACTACCTCGAGTAATTTTGTAACATCTGGTCATTGTACAGAAAGTTGGAACAGAAACACTCGTGTTTCTTCGAGCGGAGATTATCCACTGTTTCGATGCAACAGTTAATTACCCCGCAAACGAATTGAACGGTTCCGATATTGCGTTGAACGTTAAACGAAAGGATGGACTGATGAAGTATTATTCTTCAAAGGGAGATTGTTGCTTTCGAAGCGTGTTACGAAACGCAATCGTGCCGGTTTCGATAAAATTTCTCTGAACAATTTAATTTTCAATTGCAGGCACCTCCTTTTATGCGATTCCCGCTCGATTATATGGAAATAAAGAAGTAACCGTGTCCCCCAGTATTCAGGAAATGAACATCAGGAAATTCATTCCAACGGTTTCGTAACAGCTTCTCGATAACTGGATTTCAATTTGCCCGGAGGGCAAGCTTGATTGAGCAATCCTGTGCCTTTGTAATATACGAGGACCGTGTAAGATATATGATAAATCAGACTAATCTGAACGCCCAGTGTTCAGTTTGCTTATCGTATTCTGCGCTCGTAGCGTAAAATATACGACCGAGTTCATTGAAATGAAAAATCGATAAATTATGTATGAAGCCGCGTCGATGATTAAGAATGACGCGGAGGAAAATGAAAATATTCGCGAAAGGAAATAACGCGGTCCTTTTTACGATACTAAATTTGCCAACAGGGAAACACGTAATTACACTACATGGTTTGGCAAGGGAACTAAGAAGCCATTCAGAAAATGCTTCCGTACCGAGTTATCTCTCCAACACGTCCCCGGTTTCAATTCGCGTTATGTATTAGCCACGATTTACGACTGGTTAGTCAGAGAAAAATGATAGCGGCTGGTCTTGCGTTCTCTTGCCAAATCGATGTCACGTAAATGTCCTTTGTAATTGTCTGCGAGCACCGCGTCACAAAGAAACGATTCATGGAAAATCGATTTTTGTTTCGGTCGCGCTATATCAAACAATTCTTAAACCCATTTCAATTTAAATATTAATGAATTTCTTGTGGTCTTCTGTCCCTTCATAAATTCCTAGCTCGACTCGAATAATATCGAAGTAGACAGGGAAAATTTAGTAGTGGATTCGTGAAAATCTCAGGACATTGAAATCAAACGGTATTATTGATTACTCAATCGACTATGAAATGAATTACGCCGATCTTGTAACGTCCCTATATTATTCGCAGAATAGTCCCAGTAAAAAATATTAATTTTCTAGGAGTCTTCAATTCCAGCCACCGATCACGGTGGCTTAAATTATGCGAAATAATTACATGACGCGACTGGGAAAATATAGGAGGGTAGTGAATCGCGTATGGAGCGTGGATTGCGGTCGGTGACGAGGTTGCATGTGCAGCTGCAAGCTGCAACAACGCTGCAGTCGGCTGCGACTGCAGGGAAATGCAGTTCCGCGGGCAGAGAAGTGCGATGCTCGAGGTTGCTGGGGGCTAGGTAAAGCGGTTGAAAAAGGAGAGCCACTCTGTTAGCGTAATTATGCCGTGCTGGCCACTCGTATTATGCTGGCTGATGTTCAGAAAACACGCGTCACTTCTGCTAGGCACGAAAACGATTATGGTAATTGCGACGATCTTTCAGCTCGTTTTGGACTCGGGGTGCACGCTCGTTTCCTACGCGCGTGAAAAGTGAAACTTTCCAACGCAACGTTTGAACTACAGAGACTTCGCTTCGTTTTTCTGCGCGTACGATTTTCTTTGCCGAGTCTCTGGGGTGCACACTTTGGCCCCTAAAATCGAGCGAAAACACTCGGTGCGTTTTCTCTGTTCGACGTCTTCGTTACTTCTTCGAAGCAGTCAAAAAGTTTCGAGAGCTAGACAAAGAAGCGTTTCGATCGACCAACGAATTCAAGAGAATCCTCGAGGATTGAATGGTCCTCGAGACCAATTAACTTCGAATGCAGACTTCGTCCCGTGAACGTCTTATCCTTTCGACTGGTTCTCGATGGATCGTGCAACAAAGAGCAAGGAAGCTAATCGATCGTCGAAATCGTCGCAAAGTCGTGTCTGCGAGAAAAAGGTGGTAAGATACGAGGATATCTTTGGTTGGCCAACGTTTCCTCTGGCGAGACTTCATTTCAAGACGGAACTCGTTTTGCAAAGTGCACGGCTGAATAAAAAGAGGGAGAGAGAAAGAGATCCGGACGATGTCTAGGCGAATCTCAGGATGGAAACGAAGGGAGAGAATGGCTGGAACGAGCGATCAAATGGTTCGTGAGGCTTGCTTACCGAGATAATCTCTTTGCAGCGATCCGTGCACCGTGGGGAAACGATTTGGCCGCACTTTTTCGACGTTTCCTGGTACATTCGCGTCTCGCTGGATCCCGAGGGTCTGAAATACGTTTACGCTTTCGTACAGATTTACTAGCGAGACGGGACGAGAATGTGCGGGACTCGCGTTCAAAGGCACCAGAAACCTTGGAAAAGTGCTGCGGTGAGAAAGCAAGGGACCTGTTTCCACGCGTATTTGACTGCGACCACGGAAATCCTTTTCAACGAATTGAGACGTGGCCGTGATCTTCGAACATCGATGACTTTCTCGCTTCTGTCTACTACACCTCGTCGCGTTTCGATATTGAAAGCACGTTCGTTAAAAATATAAATCCCCTGTTTTCCTTTTTGCGTTTTTAATCGGATAACGAAACGAGTGTCACTCCTTCTGATTCGAAACGGTTTATTCACGATCGATCGCAAATATCTCTGAATGATTATACGGCAGGAAATTCTGTAAAAAGCACAGATTCCAAGGACACGGTGAGTTTGGCCACGGTAAACTGGAATTGTATGCAAATATTATTTATCGATAAAACGATCGATGCTGCGCCAGCGAAATTTGTCGTCTCGTCGCGAATGCAAGGAAGCTGAGCGGACGATCGACGATGAAATATTTCCATGGAATATTTGTCCAAGATATTCCATGCGCTTCTACAATTTTTCAACAACAATTACAGCGAGGAAAACACGACATGTTTTCCAACAACGACGACCATCGCTCCACGAGCATGCAGCTCGCGCTTGCTGTAGCTGCGATGCGTGACATTCCCGTAATCCTCGCGATTGTTTCTCCAGGAATTCGATTTTACGTCGCCTGTCCGTCCTTTTTGTCCTCGTAAAAACAGGGTCTTATGGTTCTCTATAGTAACATCACCGTTGATATTTCAACATGAATCGTTTACGTCACGCGTGAAATTGACCGGACACGTTTTACGTCAGTGTTTAACGAACACTTGAGATTAGAGTGACTCGTCGGGGATTATCGGACATGAAAATGTCTTGTCGTACATCGCATATGGCGCCGTCCACTGTTTCATTACGATGTTAATTTGTTTCGTTCGATGTTATTCACGAAACTCGTTTCGGCGGAACATGTGGTTCGAAATATCTTGCAAGGTGATGAATTTATTTGGATGTGCAAAAGACTCTTGGGTAACGATAGTCAACTTTTTAATTCAAATTTTTCTAACTTTCCCTATTTTTTACTTGTGAATTTCCAAATTTGAGTATAAAGAGATTCGAGCAATTGTGCAGGCAGTCTATCACTGTTCCAACTATTACCATGACTTTAAATGAGGATTATTTCCGTATCGCGACAATAAATTTCCCTCCTACCATCTTTCACGGCGAGCAACTTCATCCGTTCTCTTCTAACTCTGACTGAAATAAACAGGAAAGTTAAGTTACAAGGGCTGGATGCTCTGGTCAAAGTTAAACTAGAATTGGGCGTAGCACAAGTGGCTAACAATAAGTTATTAAGCAGTTCAAGTTTTAATTGTATCTCGCAGTTGTAGCTGCATCTCGCAGTTGCAGCTGTACGCAACGTTGACGAACTTATTCAAGGAATTACAGGCGAATATTCCAGCTTTCCTATTTTTTGGGAAACGCCTCATCCGTACCGTGTTTCGTGAAAAATTAAAACATTGCAAACCTGAAAAAGTTACTTTCAATCCTTTGCAATCCTTTATAATTCCTCTACGTTCAAGCAATTTAATTAATTTGTTATTACTGTGTACCTAACTTGCTTGTTGATAACGACCCTTTACATTAACTTCGTTTACATAATTAATGCTCACCGGTCCCAGATGCTTGTACCCAGCCTGCAAAGCCAGAAGAGATGCAACGTGAGGTCCACCTTCGATCCTGACCACCCATTCTTCACGATCACCATGGTGACCCACAATACCGACCACAAATCTCGCAACACACCATACCACCAGCCAGAAGCGTGCACTGAGAAGAAGAATCCACCCCCTCACTGATTCACTTTTCACCAAGAAATAATAGGATACCGTGACTCGATGATGAAAGTGTCACGTACCTGGCCATATCGAAATCTGAGAATTCGAGAAGAGGCAATAAGTCTGGCGAGATGGTGCAATTAATACTTTCAACCCGGTACCAGGAGCGTTCCTTTCTGGAGATTTTCTTCGACCCGATTCCACTGCTGGACGCGTACTATCTACGCGACTGGAAGGACAATCAACGGGACGTGGCACGCTCGCTATTGGATCCCGAGTGACAAGTGATCGGACAACAGAGTGTGGTAATTAGCTACTCCTTTTTGCTCGTAGAGGGGCTCACCCTGTCCCCACCAGCTTGCTAGTAGCTGGGAGAGGGTCATCGCAGTAATCTTAATACGATGTTGGATTACGGGGAGAAACGTCTCTCCTCCCCTTATTCAAAAAAGTATCAAAGTCATTCTTTATTTATTCGATTATGTGGGGTGGTTTTTCTTTGATGTATTAACCACGCGTTAAAACCTTGCAAATATTTGAAGCAAAGAATTTTCTAAAAGAATTAAGTTAATCTGATAGGAACGTCAGTTCAAAGGTTCAATTAAAGGTTTGAACGTACGTTTTGATTAAATACCGTAAGCATCGAACGTACGATGTTCGTAAAATTTAATATCAACGGCGTTTGCAGGGGTAAATAATTAAAACGAGGAATTTGGGGAGGATATAACACAAAGCATCCAGTTGCGGCTATTATTTCGCATCTCAATTACAACGGCGTCGAGTCAATCTCGCGAGAAATGGCATGGAATAATTCCTCCATTTTACCAAATATCGCGGGAACGCAGCGATGAATATAAGTATATCTCGTTGGGATGTTATCGATAAACATTTCAGAGTATCATTTTCATCGTCCATTAAACTTCCGCGCGACAAACGTTCGTGCCATAATTTCTGACCTGTATACCTACCCAATTTTTGATATTATGCTAATAACGCGTAGCGTCAAAATAGCGATACAAATATTTCACGAGATGATAATTTCTTGAAGCAACGGGGATGCTACCGGTATTTACTTCTTTCAAGATCCATTCGTCGTCTCGAGGTATCTGCGAAAGAATCTGATTATAATTGAGAACACGGGCAGGTAAAGAGGATTTTGAAACGACTTCACTTTGTCGGACCCCGGAGGGTAGTACTTGTAAATAAATTCAGTCTTCTTTACTGTCTGTCTCTCGGCTGGATATACAAGAAGACAGAATAAAAGTGGCCGATAAAAGCAGAAATAGAGAGGCAGCAAGCGTCGTGAAGTTCATAGCGAAAGGGGGCGAGAATATCCGTCGATAAAAGGGGTCTCGTTTTGCTTCTGCTCACGTCGATTTCCAGATAAATCCTTACCTTGTCTATTTACAAGTATTCTACTTCTCGAATGGAGGAAAATCGCGATGTAACCGATACCTTTCGACACCGATTGCACATTCAACGAATGCTCTGTAAATGTTTTGAAAATCTTGTAGTTCCCTAACTTTCGAATGGGGCTTCCGATAATTTAAGTCTTAACGAGGGTTGAAATGCCGAGCTTTTCTAAAATTTCGATTATTGAACGATGGAGAAAACGTTCGGTAATTTGTTCATAAAATCGGATCTGCACGGTAATTCGATTGGAACTAAACCCTCGTCGATCCATTTTCCGATGAAAATTTTCCTATATTCCCGACGAGTTTCAACTATTTCCAGATGATCGTTTATGGCTTCGTGCATTACTTTTCCGCTAACGGGTCCCCGCTATTCTAGTTGCCTTCACCCGACAGTTTTCAGATAATTTCGTTACAATAGTTAACGGAAGTTTGTAATCCATTAAGGGGACACGTATATATTGTGTGCTTCCATTTCTACGTCTACACACATCACGTTCTCGTTACCACCATTCGAATTCTATTGGTTACGCGGTCGAACTCGCACGTAATTCACTTCTTCTCTTATTACCTAACGATCGAGTGAAATCCTTAATTCCTTTTTTACCTTTCTGTTCTATTAACGCGTTTCAAATTTATCGTAAAATATTCGCTTGTCGAATATGCGAGCATGAAAATTCACTTTGATAAGTAGTTATAATCTCTACATGAACAGGAAGCAAATCTTAATTAACTATGTCACCGTAAGTAATACTAGCTTAGTAATGAAATTTTCACGGATGTCTCCCACTGTGTTCTTTGAACAGGAAGAATGATGGAGTCTCCGAAGCTCAGGTTTGACTTCTTGATCGAAATTAGTCAATAAACTGCACAAAAATTCTGTCGAATATTACCTCGAGCTCGTTAGAAAAATCGAAGTCGTCGTTTAGACGACCTTAGCCGTGGAGGATCGACGTGTAAGAGGACATAATCAGGGGTTTGACGTTTATTAAGCACCTCTGCTCGCAAATTCTTCGGCGGCCGGTCGAAATAGAACGCGAAAGTAACCGTAGAAAATTGGAAAGTTTCCACGCGATAAAATCAGACTTAATTTTCAATAAATTCCCCCTACTATTTCCAGGCGAGGGTTGGCCAACCGTTCTCGTACGTGGCGGCCAGGCGAAAGGGGTTGGAGAACACTGGAAAGGAGGAAGAACAAGAAGGGGTCGGAAAGCGCGAAGGAAAGGTAATTTACTTGGTAATTATAAAGTTACCAGCTTCAGCGACGCGCATAGTTGTGAATATTCAAATGCGATTACATCTATGATCGCATAAATTATACGTAGCGCCTTCGTGCCACCTCCAACCCCTTTTGTTCGCGCGATTTTGTCTCCCGCCGCTCTCTGTCTCCTTTTGCCGCTTTAGCGCTTCGGAAAAGTTTGACTCTGTACATGGGACCCGAGGCGGTCCATCCCCACGAGTTTTCTTATTTTTCTCAGGGCGATACGACCCCGTACTATATGGGGAAACTTTCCGCGGCTCGGGAGATCCCTCGGAAGGTCGACTGCGGTTTCGCAACCATTCCATTCTGCGCTATCATGGTAGCCATAAATGATGATCGACTTCTTCACACTGATTCACGTGTTATTTACTTTCCCCTTGTTCCATTGTGGCGGTAACGGAAGACTTTGTTTTGCACGTTTAAAATTGTGTGCAGGAGACACCTGCTAAATTCAGTCATTACGCTTTAGGCAATATCGCTTATTTGTAAAACAGTGTTTTGGACATTTAATTATCGAGACATACAAACATCACATAATTAAATTGGAATTACTTGGTACAAAATTAGCGATGATCAAGCTCTGTTACAAAACGTACGGTTCAACGAAATTCTCTGGAACTACATCATTAATTATACTCACTGAAAATCTTGAAAATGTAAGAAGATTACTGGTTCAACAAACAAATTTGAAATCTTGAAATATCACTACTCCCCGAAAATGAAGAACACACAACGGTATGCAGATTTAATAACCAAATTAAAATTTGAATACTCGAAAGTGAAGAGCATGCCGGGGTATTCAAATTTTAATTTAGTTACACAATTTGCATACTGTTGCATACATTACGGTGATACTTCAACAGTTCCAAGGCTTTCGAGAGCCTTCGACTACGAATAATTAGCGCAATAATTTGAACTCTTCCGAGTTCGAACCGTGTTTGAAAATTTGCAACAGATAGTATCGAATAGTCATCACCGTAACTGTCTCGTTCGTCCCGGTATTCGTGATATCAATTTATTGTGCGAGCAACAATTACGTCGCCAGAGATCGCACACTGTTAGCAAATCCCGAGTTAATCCAGTCTTAGACCGGTTGCTCGATTTAACCCAGACCTAACTCAACCCTTCGAGTGGGGACTCCAGCAGTTTATCGAACGAGATACTTACGGGAATTAATTAATTCATCTTCGTAACGGTGTTACGTTATCGTCAACACCGTCATTACGCACCGTGAGATTACGATAATTATCTTGCATTAACGAATAATTCCTTTTACAGCGAACAGGAATTCCCCGGCACGAAGATTTTTTTTGTTAAATATCGCGAATAGCTAACATTACAAGCAGCGGCGAGAATCCAGCTAGATAAGAGAGTTCTCTGGTCTTATCGTACTTTTTGCCATCGTTGGCGCGAGACAACGGGGAGCTGTCCACGAAACAATATTTCGCTTCTTTCTTTTGCTCCTGTTTCGCTTCTCTTCTTACTTGCTTCTTTTCTGTAAAATGCTAGGGAAGGTGATCTCGGTAACCGTTAAAAATGACTCTCGTGCATTACCCAGCCCGGACAGATAACGGCGAGAAACAGCAAGCGGTAACCGTGTTATCTTCATCGAATAATTAAGAATTGTTTAATTGTCCGTGGAAGTGCTTATCGTGCGTTGAAAAGAAAATTCGTCCCGTAAATCGAGCCGGTTCAACCTCGGAATTCTCGTGCCATTATCTCTCGGCGGTTCTCCCTCTTCGCGAACATTTTTTATCGCCCCTTATTTCGTCGAGAAATTGTTTACGATCGTTGGAGAATGTATCGCGATATAGGTGTCACTCGATCGAGCCATTCGCCGATCGAAAGCTTCCATGGACAGAGTAGCCATTCTGCTGGGAAACGGATAAACCTCCATAAACCACACGTGGTCGACGTGATCGCACGTGTCAAGGAGTCGCTTATTGCTGGTATGTACAGCTGCCTGACGTTTATGTACTCGCGAGAACTATACGAGCGATGTCCGTTTCCAAGGAATTTTATCGTCAACCCTTTCGTGGCTGGTAATATCGATACGAAACTTGCGAGGCTGCGATCAATACGAGAAAATTTGCGTCCGCGTAGTTCGAATCGTGAACGAGAAAATAATTAATATTTCCACGAACAAATGGTTTACGTAAGTGCGTGGATGTAAAAATTGTTCCGCCGAGAAAATCGGATTAGAAATTAAAAGAAATCTTATCAATAACAGGTTGTGCTGTGTAGAACTTTCATTAGTTTGCCGGCAGCAGGAACCTCTTAGACGCTGGTTTCTAAAAGAGAATTTTTAATGAACGTTTTGAACGGGTTGAATCCCGTTTCTGCTTGCTTTCTCGTTACGGAGTTTGAACTTTCGTATAGTTTCATTGAAATCCCTTTGATTGGGAACGAGCTAAAGCATGCACTTAACACAATCACTTTGAAATCAAATACTTTTACATGCTCCCCTTCTCGCGCAACGAAATTGACAAAGTTCTAACAAGCCGGTTCTCTTATCGTTAAAGTTCAAATAATTTTCCTAAATTACCTACTCGTGCCTCCAGCATTCTCTAGGATAACTCTGCGTTCATGCTCATAATCGCGCTGCAGATTCCATAAACCATACCACTATCGAAGTATCGAAAAACGAACTGATCTCCCGATAGAAAAATACAATTCCGTAAACCATAGGAGGGATGAAATTCCAATCGGAATAATACCACATCGATCGTGTAATACTCGAAGAATGATTATCGAATGGAAAGGAAATGATTGATTTTGGAACGAGACTCGCTTTCGGGTCAACTTCCTGGGAAAGGTCGACGGCTGGCTGAACGTCGCCCCATAAAATGCACCCTCGAGCTACATTCATGACAACGGGCTGGCGTTTTGGTTTCCCTGCGGGCTATTTAGCGCATCTGCCTCCACCTTGGTACAACGAAAAGGGGTTTACTGGCTGCTTTGGATCTCGAAGATGTACATTCTACTTAAAAAGTAAAAGATATATCATCAAATACTTTAAAGCGATAACTTTTGATCAGAGTCAACGCGTGTTGACTAAAAATTTGGTACGATGAAACACGTGACAGTAACGGCGCGTAAAAATCGGAGCCAGTAGAAAGGCTTGAAGATCACAGCGCGTAGAAATACGCAGAGATCACAGCGCATAAATATTGTAATCCATGAAGATCAGTTTATGACGCGTAGAATTTTTAATCCGACAAGAGAGATCCCAGCACGCGGTAATTTAACGAATCAAAAATTAATTGAATTATCAGCGGAGGTAAATATAAAAGCTCGAAATGCTGACAAGAATTTTCGAAGGTACCAACCTTTTCGAAGATAGATTAAGTTACCAAACGAACTGTACGTTTATCAGTTTATCCAGTTTTCCTCCCTAGACGATTCACCGCATTTCCCTCAATTCTCCCTTTCCAGGGCAAGCTTTAAACTCGTTCGCGGATAATTGATAAAAGAAGAAACAAGGTGCAGCTAGCCGCGTTGCAGGGTACGTGACCAACGGATGCGACCGAAACCGCAATTGTTCAGCTTCTATCGTAGTGCTTTTAATTCATTTGTTAATTTATCGCGTGGACCATTGTCATTCGGACTCGCAACACCAATACCATTAGAAGGAATTCGTGTACTTGTGTCTCCGTACACGAAAAAGGATCATACGGAAGATTATGGTCGGTGCACGATAAGGAAAGCATCGTTTGTGTATCTTACCGGGTCTGTAATAGTCAGTAGCCTAGCTGTTTCAATGTATATTTGCTTGATATTATGCTTATTGACAATTTCGTGAAAGGAATATGAGGAGACCGGGCGCTCTGTTTCGAAGTTATCTCGTTCTAAGGATGTTCAAAGGACACAATCATGTTCTTTGTTGCATCCGCAACAGTTGGTAGCTTTGCAATTTCTGTCAGTGATCCTGCATTATGGGTCTCGCAATCATACGTCTGAATAGCTCCAATGGGACCATTATAAAGCAAATACGCTGTAGGGAATTAAGCTGTGTTGAATAGTTTACTAATCAAAACATGTATAATATGATAGATCGATATCAGAGAATACCTCGTTCGAATAATCATCAAAGTAACAAACTTGAGTACAGAATAAGTGAGCGAAATCCCAGCGTTTTGTTAGCGGTAATAGAACGTAATGTCTGTTCGATCGATGCGTCTAACCGGTTAATTGCATCAAACGTCTATCAAAGCATAGCGACCGAGACAAGATCCACTCCATCGAGTGCATCTTCGAATTTCTCGATGAATTCCAAGCCATCTTCGGTAAACGAGAGGTATAAGGTATTAACGGTACGCCGATTTCCTACGTATTACATTTCAAAATCCCCAGGTATTAGCGCAGCGGTCGAACAAGTGGCTATTTGCGAAAGTCCAAACGTTGAACCGACCGGAAGGAGTTGGCAGGCATTCAGGGTTAGAACGGAATCATGAGCACCCTTTAGAGAGCAGCAACTCTCTGGCTAACTAAGCGACCAAGGGTACACCGAATAGAGCATTTACTTTCGGTGTCGGACAAGGAAATGGAAACATATTGCTCGCCCACGGAGCTTCCTCATAATTTTGAGCTACATTATCGGATTGGCAGTTATTATGAAACCTTTTGAAGTTACTATTTGGAAGAAAAGTGAGATGAAGACACACAGTGGACAAGGGCATCAGAATACTTCAATTTTAATAAAGAATACAGAAAGTATGTATGAAGATTAACCACTAAATTTAATCAATTTCTTTTCAATTATTTTATAGGCAGACCTTTCTGACGAGTTTCAGTCACGAATCATTTTTATCGCAGGATTTCGAGAATCAGCCCTTCTTATTTTTACGGCAACGATTTATTCGATCCCTCAGGGCTGGCTGATGGTTGGTCCACTTTGATCTTACGTGTCCTCTGGTGGTAACCCCTCGAATTCCAGCAACGTGAGAGGGTATGTTCGATGGCTA